TTGTTGTTAAATGCCATTGAGTTGATTTCAACTCATAGCGACCCTGTATAGGGTTTCCGAGGAGCGGCCAGTGAGTTTGAACCACTGACCTTGTGGTTCAAACCAACCTTTCAGTCCAGTGCTTTATACTGTGCCACCCCAAGCTAAGTACTAGGAAGGCTTTTTTGTTTTATTTTAAAGCAAGTTTGGGGGACTACTTTTTCAGAGGAGGCCTGGTGTGATATTGTAGGATAAGCAAGCACTGGACTGCTAACTGCAAGGTCAGTGATTCAAACTTACCAGCTGCTCCTCGGAAACGCTATACAGGGTCCCTGTGTGTCTGAACCGACTCAACGACACTTAACACTTTTTTCAGAAGGGACTAGTGCATTCCACAACATGTGTGTGTGCTTATATAAAAGTGACTCAGGTGAATTGCTAAATAAGATTGAACAAAAAAAATTGGGAGGCAAAAAAAAAAAAAAAAAAAAAATCAGAAAGAAGGACTTCGATTTGCCCTTATGGCTGTGATTATATAAATTGTTGTTAGGTGTTATGGCATCCGTTCTGACTCATAGCAACCTTGTTGTTGTGAAGTGCCGTCGAGTTGGTACCGACCCATAGTGACCCTGTATAGGGTTTCCAAGGAGCAGCTGGTCAGCTTGAACCTCTGACCTTGAAGTTCAAACAGCTTTGCAGTCTGGCGCATTAGCCCACAGTGTCATACCAGGACTCCATAGCAACCTTGTGCACAACAAAATGAAATGCTGCCTGGCCCCGTGCCAACCTCACAATTGTTATACTTCAATCTATTGCTGTGCTAATATGAGAGAGCTTCAAAAAGTTCATGGAAAAGTGGAATTAAAAGATAAAATGGAATCTCCCCACGAACTTTTTAAAGCCCCCTTAAATGTTCCACATGAAAGATATGTGCGTATATGTATGTCTTTGTGTAAAGGTGACTAACATGATTTTCTAAATAAGATTGCAAAAAAATAAAATGAAGAGGCAAGCAGCAAAATAATAAAATAAAACATTAAGTAATCGAATAAATTTTATTTATATAATAAAGATGGATTTAGATTTACCTTTATAGCTTTGACTATAAAGAAGGGAGCTTCAAAAAGTTCATGGAAAAGCTCCATTATCTTTCAATTCCATTTTTCCACCAACTTTCTGAAGTGCCCTCATATATGTGTATAAACCAAAACTAAACAGGTTATCAAGTTGATTTGGACTTATGGTGACCCCATGAGTGCAGAGCACAACTTGGTACCATCGGGTTTTCAAGGCCATGACCTTTTGGAAGCAGATTGCCAGGTCTTTCTTCCGAGGCACCTTGAACCTGAACTGCCAACCATTTGGTTAATAGTCAAGTGTTTAATCATTTGTAACAGCCAGGGACTCCATATTTGTGGTGTTATTGTTTTATTGTTATTAGATGCAGTTTAATAACTGAAGTCAGTTCCAACTTCCAGCCACCCTATATAGGATTTCTGAGGCTATAATCTTTATGGGAGCAGGAAGCCTCGCCTTTTTTCTGTGGAACAGCTGGTGGACTCAAACCCCCTGACCTTTTGGTTTGCAGTTCAGTGCTGATCCTACAGAGCCACCAAATATCTGTATCTGTGTATATATTTCTTGTTTTATAGACTGGATTTTTTTCTATAGATAATATTTCTTTTTTTAAGAATTATATTTTTGTTATTGCATAGTTTAGCTACCTCTACCCTGTGTACTCAAGAAACTCTTTAGAGGAAAATAATTTTGGATGTGTTCTTTGGACAATTGTCTGCCCAGGATTGTGCAGACAGCAGCCCCGCCCAGAGGGAGTGTCACCGGCGGTATCTTTTTGTGCTCTACCCACATTAACACACTTTACACATTTTCCACAGACTCAGAAGTAAAAAGTCTCCTTTCGGACGATAACTCAGAAAGCCTGACTTTGCTGGATTTGTTGAGTTTTACCTACCAGGTTGCCCGAGGAATGGAGTTTTTGGCTTCCAAAAATGTAAGTATATATATGTGCGTTGTTATTGTTTTTATGTGCTGTTGAGTCAGTTCTGATTCATAGCGACCCTGTATAGGGTTTCTAAGGAGCGACTGGTGGGTTTGAACTGCTAACCTGTGGTTAATAGTTCATTGCTCATCCTGCAGTGCCACACCAGGACTCCTATATGTGTGTGTGTATGTATATATGTTTGTTGTTTTTGTTAAGTGCTATCAAGTCGGTTCATATGGAACCCTGGTAGTGTAGTGGATTACGAGCTGGGTCTACTAGCCAGAAGGTCAGCAGTTTGAATCTACCAGCCGCTCCATGGGAGAAGGATGAGGCTTTCTGCTCCCATAAAGGTTTACAGCCTCGAAAACTGATGATGTAAACCTTTGAGTCACCATGAGTCGGAACCAACTCAATGGCACACAACCAACCTACCAAAACATATGTGTAAGTGTGTTCAAGGAAAGCGATCTGTGTATAGACTGGATTCAGTCTATCCCTGTGTAGACAGGCCACTGATTCCAGAGGGAGCAAGTGCGGGAGCAGACGTTGGCGATAGAGGTTTGAGAGGTCACTTGTATTGGCTGCTTCTCATTTATGTCCCTCTCCTTCCTTGGAGTCCTGGTATGGACAATCACTGGACTGCAAACCACAAGAATGGTTAGTGGTTCAAATCTACCGGCTGCTCCTTGAGTGGGAACTGACTGAAGGGCACTTAACAACAATAACTTCTCCCTTACGCAGGGTGGGAGTCTGACATCTCCAGGTGTCCTTTCGCTCCCAAGGGCTTCCTCTCTTTGGAGAGTGGTTGGGATGGGGCAGTTCCCAGAGACATCATGAATTGGTCAGTCTTTCAGCAGTGATGTTGTTTAGTTGAAAACGGATGGACTTGAAGCCTCTATGTTTCTTTTGCTGCAGTGTGTCCACCGGGACCTGGCTGCTCGCAATGTCCTCCTGGCTCAAGGGAAAATTGTGAAGATCTGTGACTTTGGCCTGGCCAGAGACATCATGCATGACTCGAACTACGTGTCCAAAGGCAGTGTAAGTGCTCTTTCTCCCTTCGTTCTGCATGCTTGCCGCCCTTCGCTTGAACCTTTGAATTCAGATGTAGTTTCTAACCCTTCAGGATTGATGTTTTTCACATGAATTCCTGAGCGTCAGGAATGGGTCTCAGTGGCCCCATAGGGGAAGCCCAGGCTCTGCTGTGTGGATACAGCTCTACCACTTGTTAGCATTGGGATTGGGGTCAAGTGACTTGACCATCCTGTGTCCCAGTTTTCCTGTCCGTAGGATGGAGGTGGTGATAGTACTTACCTGCTGGTTGCAGTTACAATTGAATCAGCTAGTTCACCTGTTGAGGTGGTACGTGTAGATGCTCAGCGACTGTTAGTCACTGATATGTGAATTGTATGTGTGTGCATACATGCACTTCCAGAGAGTGCTCTCTAGCAGGGCTTTGAGCTGAATCATTCCAATGTGACCCCATGCTGAAAATTTGCCTTTTCACCCCAGATATGGAATCTTGGTGTGACACTGTAGGATAAACACTGGATTGAGAGATCGATTAGAACTGCAAGGTTGGTGGTTCAAATCCGCTCTTCAGAAACCCTATGCAGGGTCTCTGAGTCAGAAGCTACTCGACGGCACTAAACAATGATAACCCCAGAGATAATGAATCAGAATCGACATTTTGATAAGATTTCCAGGTGATTCACCATTTGTACCACTACCCAGGGACTTCAAATACAGATGAATGTGTATGCATATGTACCTGAGGGTCTTATCAAAATGTAGTTTGTGATTCAGTTTATCTGGAATAGAAAGGCAAATTCTCATCAGCGGGTGGGACCAGAATGAATCGGTTCCAAGTTCTGTTCTATAGTTTTTACCAGATTTTCAAAAGGCATCTGTAATATATACAATATTAGGACCGTTTGAGTGAATATTATCTTAAGTCTCACAATTTCCTAAAAGATCAGCATCTGTCTTTATACCTGGACCTTCTCTTTGCCTCTTCTACCTCCAAGCAGATGTAAGCAGTTTAGGATTCTTCTGGCTCTTGTATGTATGTCTGATTCCAAATTACCCAGCTGGACTGGATGTGAGTAAGCCTACAGAGGAATTCTGGCCCAGGTCCAGCTAGGATCTGGGCAGGCCATGTTCTTGTGAGCCAAGGGGTCTTCCTATACCACTTTCAATCCCTTGGACAAATCACTGGACTTTGGTGCGGCCAGTGTTTTCATCTGTTCAGAAAGGGTTATGAATCTCTTGTTATCTCTCTAGGCAATCCTGGAGGGCTTAAGGATGCTAATATGACTTTTAATGTATGTACTCAGTCTAGTATTTCCTCTGACAGTTTGGCCTCCCTGACAAGGCTGGAAAAATGTATCTTAAAGCATGGTGGTGATGGTGTGCTGTTATGTCGATCCCAGCTTCAGAGCAGCCTTACATAGGGTTTCTGAGGTTGTAAATCTTTATGGGAGCAGAAAGTCTCATCTTTCTCCCAAGGAACAGCTGGTAGTTTTAAACTGCTGACTTTGAGGTCAGCAGCCTGATTCGTAACCACTATGCTACCAGAGCTCCTATGTCTCTTAATAGTTGTGGGAAATTTCTATTTACTTCCTAAAGCTGGATTCATTTTTCATTTTGTTCCTAGGCACACCTGAGCACTATAGCATCGCATTCAGTACTCACAGTTTTTATGGGCAAAAATATATAATTAAATGTTTTTGGACATTATTTTTAGAGGAGAGGTAAGAAACAACATTAGCCATTCACCACTCATTAAATATTTAGTGAACACCCACTAGGTGCCAGGTACGCTGTTCTACGTGCTAGAACTGAGCAGTGTAGAAAACATGTAACAGAAACACGCATGTGAGGCAGGATGATTAGTACAAATTATTATCAGCTCTGAAGTACGTCTTTTCATTTCTGCGGTTGTAGATCGTCAGCATATAGAGTAGATTCAGTTTCCTGCTTTCTTCCCTGCAGACCTTTCTCCCGGTGAAGTGGATGGCTCCTGAAAGCATCTTTGACAACCTCTACACCACCCTGAGCGACGTCTGGTCTTACGGCATTCTGCTCTGGGAGATCTTCTCTCTTGGTACGGGCCTGACATCTGTGCTTGTTTGGGGTTATTCTGGAATCTGTGAGAATTGTAGCGTAGTCGTTATAAATCGGGTTGTGAACCTTAAGGTCAGCAGTTTGAAACTACCAGCTGCTTCATGGGAGAAAGATGAGGCTTTCTACTCCTGTCAAGATTTACAGCCTTGGAAACTCTGTACAGGGTCGCTATGGGTTGGAATCAACTCTATGGCACTTAACAACACAACAATAACTACTTGGCTACTAATGGAAAGATTGGAGGTTCGAGTCCACTCTGAGAAGGAAGTCCTGACAATAACTTAGCCCTTGCTAAGTGTACAGTTACACTTGACATATATGGGGCCACTGAGTTTTAATCGAGTCAGCAGCAACAGGTTTTAGTGTGGCGCAGTGGATTAATGCGACAGACTGCAAAGCCATTTGAACTGCAAGGTTGGCAGTTCAAGCTTTTCAACTGCTCCTCGGAAATCCTTACAGGGTTTGGGTTGGAATTGACTCGATGGCACTTTACAACAAGTAATCAGAAGGGTCCCTGGGTGGCACAAATGGTTTACCCTCAACTACTAAAAGTTGGAAGTTCAAACCCATCCAGTGGCACTGTGGAAGAAGGGCCTGATGGTATGTTCCTGTGAAGATTACAGCCAGGAAGACCCTCTGAAGTAGTACTACTCTGTGGCACATGGGGTCACCATGAGCTAGAATCTACACCAACAGTTTTGTTTGTTTATTTGAGTCGTCAGAAACACTGAAACCCAGTAACGCTTTTTCTAAAGATGTAGCATGTCGTGTAGGGTGTAGGGGCCCTGACTATTTGGAAAGCCTAGTTCAATTTGAGATTTGAGTAGGCGTACAAAGTCAGGGAGGTCATGTCAGTTCATTTCCTTGAAAAAGCCCAGCTCTAGGCTTTAGAATCCCCAGCATTCTCTAAAGGTGATAGCATATCGCCCCAAGAGTGTCGGCAGGGCCTCTTGCCCATGTTTGTTAACACTGGTTGTTTTATTCTTTGACTTTTAGGTGGCACACCTTACCCTGGCATGATGGTGGATTCGACTTTTTACAATAAGATCAAGAGTGGGTACCGGATGGCCAAGCCTGACCATGCCACCAGTGAAGTGTGAGCTCCCTCCCTAGCCTGCTGGCCTTACATTCATACCTGGTGTGGGGTCTCCATGGGGAGGGGCTCCCTGATACTCTTCCCTGTGCTCATTCTGAGTTCTGTGCCTCTCCAGCTACGAGATCATGGTGAAGTGCTGGGACAGTGAGCCAGAGAAGAGACCCTCCTTCTACCACCTCAGTGAGATTGTGGAGAATCTGCTGCCTGGGCAATATAAAAAGGTTCGTCTGGGTCTGGGGAGATGGGTGGCGAGAATGGGCACAGGAAGGAGACATTAGCTAGCAGTTCTGCCTAAGATCCTAGTCCTTTGAGTGAATGGTTAAGCACTGAGCTGCAAGCCAAAAGGTTAGTGGTTTGAACCCACCCAGATGTACCTTGGAAGAAAAGTCTGGCCATCTTCTGAAAGGTCACAATCATGGAAACCCTATAAATCAGTTCTATTTGAAGAAAAGTCTGGCCATCTTCTGAAAGGTCACAATCATGAAAACCCTATAAATCAGTTCTACTTTGCACACACGGGGTCACCGTGAGATGGGATCCATTCTACAACAACAGGTTTCATTTTATTTATTTATTTTATTTAACCCTGTCCAGCAGTTCAAAACTACCAGCTGCCCTGCGGGAGAAAGATAAGGCTTTCTGTTCCCGTAAAGATATACGGCCTCGGAAACCCTGTACAGGGTCTCTATGAGTCAGAACTGACTCCATGGCACATGACAACAACAACAACCCTGTTCAACAGTTGTAAAGGAATATTTTCAAAGGAAGAAAAAATAGGAGTATTCTAGGGGCCCCTAATCTCAATGATTTATCACAATTCTCCCCTCCTGTTCCCTTTTCATCCTCTTTCTTAAGTGCACAGCATTTGCAAACACTTTCATTCTCCAGATGTTTGAGTATCTGAAACTACTGTATAGTTAGGAGCCTGGCACATCCATGGTCATTAAATCACGAATTTGAATGCTCCTAAATCCCTGTGAAATTGACTTTTACCAGCTGATTCAAAGGAACAACCTCAGCTGTTATCTGTGGCTCCAGCTGGTTTTTTGCGCTGCATAGGAAGCATTGTTCAGATGCACAAATGTAATTCCATGGACCAAGCAGTATATGTAAATGGATAAAACAACTGCTGCCATGCCAAGAAGGAAGTCAAGGCTGGCTTATGTTCAAAACTCAATTTCTTAAACTTAGAATAATTGCAAGGTAGATTCTTAATAAGGGGCCCTGGTGGCTCATTGATTATTAGCTCCACGAGAATGTAGAGGTTGGTGGCTTGAACCCCCAAGTGGCTTTGTGGAGGAAAAGACGTGGTGATCTGCTCTTGTACGGATTGTTGTTGTCAGGTGCTGTCCAATTGCTTCTGACTCCTAGTGACCTCATGTACAACAGAACCAAACACCAATTCCCTTCTGTCCTTTGGTCAGAATCAATAGCACGCAACAACAGGCTTTCATACATATCGCTTCTCTTCCACACAACAACAGGCTTTCATACA